GTGGGGGGGGGGGGGGGGAAATATAAAGCATCCATATAATGTAGCTAACATAACACTCAATAGCAGGACTGAACAAATTAATGGAACACATTATGTTAAGAGAAAAAAGACATAAATTCTCTTGATGGCAAAGGATATGTGTGTTCTGACGCTCAGACTGCCACACACTGGAAGGAAAGAATAGACATTGTCTCTTAGCTTCATGTGCTGGTATATGCTTCCCCAACCATGTGCAGAACTGGAGGGTGATGAAGGCTGCATCATGGGATGGACCAACCTTCTCAACTTGGTACCCTGCAGATGTTCTGGGCATCAACTCCCAGCCAGCATGGCCAATGGTTGGAAATGCTGGGAGATGAATAGCTGGAGGGCCCAGGTTGTAAAAGACTAGATTCAATCTGAACATGCAGTTTTTTCTTTAGTCTTTTATGTAACTTCTTACTAAAACTAGATGCCATAAGACACTTCTACAACACTTTTCTAAAAAGCAGCTCATAGTAAGTCTGTCTGATAATATGGAGAGATTTATCTTGAATATCTAGCTAAGAGAGTTGGAGAGCTTTGATGGACAAAGCTGTTAAGGACATGATAGTGGTGTAGCACTTCCAGGGAGATCCCTTAGAAGGAATCTTGCTGGATTAAGAGATAACCTTTTCAGGCTAAGGTTATACCTCTTGAAGGCATGGGCTTGTAGAAGCTCCTAGCAGTCAGTTATTAGATTGTTAAAGACGTGGACAGTAGGGATTGTGATAAACATGCAGACTTTGTGCTGACTTGACTGCCTGGTTTGAAGTTTTCATATATCAAACACCACTTGGATAGTCTGAAAGACAGTGTGGGAGTAGAATCAGCTGCTATTTGCACATCTGCACAAGTGACATGGGGCAATGTAACCATGTGGCTCTGAAAGACAAATTAAGATTGCTAGGTAAGAGGGTGAAGCCATGATCCTCTTTGACACTTCCTCTTCTGCATGGGGGCCTATCAGGGTTCTGATATGTGGATGAAATGGCGGTGTATAGGCAAACATTTCTGAGTTTGGAAACAGAAATGGAAAACTTTTGGGAAGAAGTTGAGCCTGTCCAAAAGGGGCAGGCTCCAATTGAACCAGAATGGTGGTGCTTGGAATTAAAGAGGTGGTGGAGGATCTTTCAAACTGACCCAATGGACTCCTCTGAAGCATCTATTCTGGCAAGAAATGATCCATAAGGAGTGAAGTTGAGATGTTTCTGATTATCCAAATGGAGACAGGGTTGAAAAAGGGAGACAAAGGAATATGATGGCATGTTAGAGAGCCCAGTGTGTCATCAGGGAAAACGAATGTGCCAGAGACATGCTTTTTAAGCTGTTCAAAAATGACAGCATCTAAGCTTGAAAAATAAGAGCGCAGTGCACTGTTTTGGCTATTAAACAGGTAAAAAGGGGCAGTGCAATAGTGGTTCACAGCTTAACCTTGCAATCCCTGTTCTGGAGGACGCAATGCAAAAGGCTAATCTGCAGGCAAGTTAGGGCAGCTTATGTAGCCTGTGGCACTGCTCCAAAAGTAAGGATTTTCCACACAGGGGCTCCTTGCTTCTGGTGCTGCCAGCACAAGGAAGGCAATAAGGAGGGAGTCTTTTGCGCTTCGGTTGGAAGGGAGTTCATCTTTCCTAACAAATTCCCTGGGCCAGTCTATTTCTTGAGCTCTGGGGGAAGGTAGGCAAGCCCAAAATGCCAGAGCACCTCACTGAGCATGAAGTACTGGCAAAAACAAACACGATGCTCCTGGAAATGCAGTGTGCTCCTGGAAAGTACTCCACACAGCTGGGTGAAAAGCAATGGAGTCCCCATTTTAGCCTTTTAAAGGGAGGGCACATTGCCTGCGCAGTCACCAACTCAGTGCCAGAGTGCAAACGGTAAAGGCAGATCAGGCCTTTGCAACTGCATGCATATTTTCAAGCCGGGATAATTAGTTCTGGGCCTGAGGTTGCCACCCAGGGTAGGCATGCCTGGGCTCTCACTGAGGGCCCACATACCAGCAGGGGACTGCTGGCAACAGCCCCCACAGGTGGCTCCTTCTCCTCACTTTCGCAACCTGCTGGCTCACCTGTCTTTTCCTTGGGCCTGGCCAACAAAGGTGGTGTGAAGGAGGAGCGGGAGACACCGTTGCCCCTGCCCCTTTGCATGCCAAGCAAGCAAGCAAGCAAGCAAGCAAGCAAGCAAGCAAGCAAGCAAGCAAGCAGGAGCAGTGATGACACCAAAGAGGGGAAGCCATGGCCGCTACTGCTGTTGGAGGTGAGGAGGGAGAAGAGGGGCCATAGAGGGTGACTCCTGGCCAAGGGCCTGGGGGCAGCGTGTAGAACTGTGCTTTGATTTTAAGCAGAAGCAACCTGTACATTGGCTCAGGCAGTCTTTGTTTGCTCAGATGAAGCTTGCGTGTGCTCTAAGCTGCCCTGCAGCTTAAGGAGGTGTGCAAGTGAGGCTCAACTTGGGGTCTCCCCTCCATTAGCGGCCACCCAGTCAGCAGTTTAGCTGAGAGAATAGGAAGCCTAATCCATCTACCTGTCTGGTCTGGTTGTCACCTGGTCCCCCTTGACTGAACACTGGAAATAGGCGAGGACTCTGAATGAGATCAAGGCAAAAGAATCGATTAAGTGGGTTTGACAGCAAATCTTCCTGGCTTTCCCCAGTCAACTTCCCTTCCTTCTTAATGTCATGTTTTTTCCTTTTAGACTGACTCTGCCTGAAGCAGTTTCTATATCATTTTGGTTTTTTAAAATACGACACTACCCATTCTGTTTGTGTTCCATCAGACTGTGAACACAAGATGCACTTCTTGGCCTTCCTGCATAAGGCATACATTATGCCCAAATATTTGCATGTTATTTAAACACACACACACACACACACACACACACACACACACA